AAACTAGAATCCGTCCCTCAGACACAGTCGCTTTATACGTGTAGAGTTGTGCTTTTCTTTGTATGGATGCCACATTCACCTGCAACCTGCCTGTGGAGATCATCACCTGAGTTGCGTCCAAACTTACATGCACTACATGCAGTAACACAACAGCTCTCTAACCATGAAATAATTTTAGCTGATTAAACTGTACTAAATGGCAGGCAATTAGTAAACTGATTGATTGATTGGCTACATTTAATTATATGTGAATATTACAAAACAAAATTGATTTGTGACCACTATTCTCAAATCCACCAATTAAGTGGGACCCAGTAACTAATCAAAGAAAAATCACACTACTAGTCAAGTAAATTAATGTTTGTAGCTCAAACCTTTTTCAGTCTCAGTTTCATCATGGAAAATCTTTGAGGGGCAGCATGCCAGTGGGGGGGGGGAATCAAAGGCCAAAGTGGGGGGAGGAGCAGGTGTAACTCTTATGTTTACACAGCTATTTTTCAGCCATCTTAAAAAAATATGTGTGTTTTTTTTCCTACGCACCCCCACTCCCCCCACATCTCCACACAGACAAGCAATAGGCATTATCAGAGCTCAAGGACAGATTTCAGCCAGGCAGAGGTGCTCGAGGAGAGCATGGGTGAGGGGGTGTGGCTTGGGGAAAGCCCCCAGGGCCAGACAGAAAAACCTGGAGGGCACCATTCGCACCTAGGAACAAGGCTCCCCACCCCAGATCTTATCACATGCGACATTAGCTTCTCCAGCCATTTATTTACTGAAGTGCCGGTGTGATGCCAAAGGATGTACAGTCTAAATTGTGGGGGAAGGGGCTGTCACAAAACGTTAATAATTAGTACAGATACTGTGAGGGAAGTGAAAGATTGGTTTTGATGGTGGTAAGGAGACCTCTCGTGCGGCCTAGGGACAGAAGGATCCCTGTACAGTGGTACCTCGGGTTAAGTACTTAATTCGTTCCGGAGGTCCGTCCATCGTTCAGCCCGGACACTGAGATCCAGCGCCGAGGGCCTTCTGGCGGTTCCCTCATTGCGAGAAGTAAGGTTACAGGGAACCAGGCAGAGGGCCTTCTCGGTAGTGGCGCCTGCCCTGTGGAACGCCCTCCCAGCAGATGTCAAAGCAATAAACAACTATTTTACTTTTAAAAGTCATCTGAAGGCAGCCCTCTTTAAGGAAGTTTTTAATGTTTGATGCTGTACTGTTTTTAATATTCAGTTGGAAGCCGCCCAGAGTGGCTGGGGAAACCCAGCCAGATGGGCGGGGTATAAATAATAAATTATTATTATTATTATTATTATTATTATTATTATTATTAACCTGAAACTGTTCTTAACCTAAGCACCACTTTAGCTAATGGGGCCTCCTGCTGCTGCTGCGCCGCCGGAGCACGATTTCTGTTCTCATCCTGAAGCACTATTTCTGGGTTAGTGGAGTCTGTAACCTGAAGCGTATGTAACCTGAAGCGTATGTAACCTGAAGCGTATGTAACCTGAAGCATATGTAACCTGAAGCGTATGTAACCCGAGGTACCACTGTACTGCAAGTGAGCAGAGAAGGAGAGGGTAAAGGTGAAGCAGAAAGCACCAACTTTTTGGGTGCTCTTATCCCCTCCCCAACCCCTCTCTCTGTCTCTGTCTCTTTCTCCTTTGGTCCTCTATTCTAGCAATGTAGCAACGGCATGCCTTTTCAGGGTGCAATTCAGGCTGTTCCCAACATGAGACTTCTGTCAGCCCAGGCCTTAGCAGTTTCACATTTCTCACAGCGAGAGGGTTTGGTTAACATAACCTCAGAAGTGCTAAATGAGACCTGAATGAGCGGCCTTGCTTCCTGTCACACCAAATGATGTGGTCATTAGGGGAATGGAGCACGGAACAAGACAACAGATTAGGGGCCCGATAAGAATCTCTGATCAGGCATAGGAGTCACGTTTGAATTACAACGCTGCATGCAGGGTTTGGGGTATGAACTTTTTTTTCTTCCTTCCCAGCCATGTGGTCGCAAATGCTAACCTTTTCAATCAATGGCAAATTCCAGAGGAGCAGTCAAAACGCAGATGAGACGCCTCAGAGAAGACAAACACGGAGCAAAATCCCCCACACTCACTCCTCCTAGTTCAAGCTAGATTTGGTATGCCCACAGATCCTCCCTGCTTGCAACAACCACGATCGTTTCCCTTCCACGCTTTAGTAACAAAAGGAGTACATACATACATATGTGTGTGTGTGTGTGTGTGTGTGTGTATGTATATATATGTATACACACACACACACACACACACACACATCTATATCTATATCTATCTATCTATCTATCTATCTATCTATCTATCTATCCATCCATATATATCCCTACACTGACATCAGTTGTTCATACCAATAAATCATCCTTTATGCCACCGTCATGTGACTGGCAAGTTTTTGAAATTAACCCAACATTTACGAATTGCGCCATAGTTCAAGTGAAATCTAAAATGTTGAATGCGAGTTCATAAACATGTTGTTCTTTATTTGGGGCGGGGTGTTATTTATTATAAGCCGCAGCCTAATCAACCAATAAGATCTACAGTAAAAACAACAAGAGCAGCAGGAAATTCCATTACGAAAATTCAATGCATTAAAAAGCTTGGTAAATAAGCAAGCTTTAAACCAGTGTTTCCCAACCTTTTTTGGGCAAAGGCACACTTGATTGATGAAAAAAATCTCGAGGCACACCACCATTACAGCCCCGTGACGTCAGCGCGCAGCGTCACACCGGGAGGGACGCACGAAAGTGTAAGTTTCAATTTTTTTCCCTCCCCCTTGCCGGGGAACCTCCAAGCTTTGGGGGTGGGGGGGGAGGAGGCAGCAAAGCGAGGGACTGAGGGACTCCTCCAACTCCTCCTCCTGCTCGTCCACGGCCGGGTAGAGCCGCTTGAGGCGCCGCTTGAGCTCCTTCTCCTGCTCGTTCAGGGCCGGGTCGCCGCCGTGAGCGGAGGCGGCGTGGGGGACCCCGCAGGTCAGGGCGAGTCGGCTCGTCAGCTGCCACGACAGGAGCAGGGCGGGCGACGAGGGGGTGGCTGGGTGGGGGAGATCCCCCTCGGATCTGCTCCCTCTCAGGCTCGGTCGGTGCTGTCACGAAGCGAGACGAGGCTGGAAGGCGCCGCTCTCCTTCTCCCTCCGCAGCAAGCGTGGCCTGGCGCGAATCAAATCGCCGCTCCTGTCCCGTGCGCTCAGGTGGGCAGCTCCAAAGGGGCGCCCGCGTGCGCCGGCTTGGGGTGGCTGCCCAAGCGCCTTCTCTCTCTCGCCTCCTCCCACGAGTTCGGGGTCAGCCTCCCGCTCCTCCTCCGCTTCCTCCTGCCAGCCGCCGGGGTCTTTGGTCGCCGCAGCCTCCCGTCCAAGAAGCACCTTCGCCCAGGCAAGGACGCGCGCGGAGCTGGCGAGCGCCGAGGGGTGGGGCTCTCGCGCCCGCCTCCCGAACCAGGAGGGCCGGGTCGCCGCCATGAGGGAAGGGCGCCGGGGCGCTGCTGCCGCTGCCACTCCCAGCAGGCATGGGCCCAGCTGAGGCGGCGGCGGCTGTTGTGGTGGTGGCGGCGATAGCGGGCGGAGGAGGGGGCGGCGGCGGGGCCGAGGTGGCCGGCGGCGGCGGGGGAGGTGGCGGCGGGTGGAGCAGGAGGGCGGCCGAGGCCGGTGAGGGAGTAGGGTTGCCCGGGGCTTGAGGAGCCGTCGCCGGGAGTTGCTGCTGCTGTTGTTGCTGCTGCTGCCCGGACATGCCGGCCTCCTCCTCGTCCGCTGTCTCGCGCTCCTCCCTTTTGCGCGCGCTGCCCCGCCGCCGCCCCATTGGCCGGGTCCTGTCAGCTGATCCTGTGTTATTTCCTGTGTGTGTGTGTGAGGGGAGAATGGAGAGACAAACCTCGGCACCGCCACCGCGGAGCCGCCCCCGGCTCGACGCGGATCCTCGCCGCCGCCGCCCTGCCTCTCGCCGCCCGACTCGCCCGCCTCCCTCCCACGGCACACCAGGCAAGGTCTCGCGGCACATTAGTGTGCCGCGGAACACCGGTTGGGAAACACTGCTTTAAACCGGCGTTGTAAAGATAATCTAGAAGGTTCCAGCTGAGCTTCTGAGCAGAGTTGCATTCCACCTTTAAGGTGCCACCACAGAAAAGGCCCTGAGCCTAAATGCCCATTTATCTTCAGACTACAATCCGCTATATTTCCAATTGCAACTTCTCTGCTTAGCTCCTTGGCCACATCCACGTTGAAAGCAAATTTATACCACTTTAACAGCAAAAAATCCTGGGAACTGTTGTTTTGAACCCGTCACAGAGCTACAATTCCCAGGATTCTTTGGGGAGAGCCATGTGACCCATATGTGCTTTGAAGTGTATGGTGTGGCTGTGACCCTATAAATTGGGGTGGATGTTGCCAGGAACTTCCCATCCACCTTGTGCTGCAGAAGCAACAAACCAGAACAGCACAAGTTCTCTGTAATTGAAGTCATCTGAAACGGTTTGCCAAAATGCCCAGAGATCCCAGACAGCCCTTTAAAATGCCTCAAGACAACTGCTTTGCTTACCACCCCATCCCTCCACCACTACCATTGGCCTTCCAAGGGGACTGTGGGGTAAAACCAGAGGCCGGATTTGTACAACAGGCAGAGTGGATTAGAACTGGCTGAGGCTACGAGTGGAATGGCAGCTGTATCCTCTCCCACTGCCGTGGGGCATTTAAATAGACTTTTTTTTTTTGTATAAAAACATGCCTGAATATGTTATTTGAGATTGAATTCATTCCTGGTAATAGGATCTGTTTATAGCAACTATGCACAAAATTCGCCATGATGGAGGAAGGTCTACATGCCTGAAATTATTTGGTTCCTCAGAGCCACATGGATTTCCCTCGCGAAGGGAGGGAAACAGTTGTTCATGAAACTCTGTTCCAGGATCTTTCCCCTCCTCAATACTCCAACTTAATTCAGAATTCTCTGCATCTAATTAATTTTGAGGGGCTCACCGGCTTCACCAAGGGTAGCGTTCTGCAGGTAAGTCCGGCATCTCTCTTTGTGTTCTTCCAATGAGCTTCTTTGCTTGTAACTCCGCCCACAGAATTCGCACTTGAATGGTTTCTCCACTAGGAGGAATAAGAAAGCAAACAAAAGGACTGTTATATTTCTGTGCGTGTGCTGTGTTACTGACGCTTCAATTTTAATATGTAAACAAGTGGCTTAAAATCATTGCCTTGCCTATCCCTTGAATTCTCCTGCATGAGCGATCAGATTGCATCAGGGACTGGAATAATTCCAGATACCCAATTGCCCAGTGGACTTAAATATTTGACAGTGACGTTGAGTAATTATTATTATTATTATTATTATTATTATTATTATTATTATTATTATTTATGTCCCGCCCTCCCCAGCCGAAGCCGGGCTCAGGGTAGCTAACAACAATGAAATAATGCAACATTCTAAAAACATTTCATTATGAAAATTAATTAATTAAAGTATTTCCCCTCCAATCCCAACTGTACCCATTTTGCAGCTGAAGGAAAATGCGGAAGAGCAAAGTGTGGGTCCTTGGTCACCAACAAGATTTCTCTGTATGGCCCGTAGATGCCAGTCTCCCAAACTTCCCTTATCTGTCCACTTTCTTCTTGCCTACGGTACATAGTTCCTAATGTTCCAGGGCTCTATGGGAGATTTTACCCCAGTCCTGCTTTCGACATGACTACTCCATGTCTCCCGCACCTATTCTGTCCTATTTTCTTCAGCCTCTCTGCCTCGCCCTTCTCACGCTTCATGTACACAGCTCCTGCTGTCCTTATGCATTTTGAAATTTCCTCAGAGCCCTCTCTCTCATTAACCTCCTTTTGTCTCCGATCTTCTCTCTTCTCCTCTCTCAAATTTCATCAGGTTCCCTTCTACTTTTAGCCTTTTAGCCTGCTCTGCACAGGTCCTTCAGCTATCTTGTTAATACAGTGGTACCTCGGGTTAAGTACCGTATTTTTCGCCCTATAGGACGCACTTTTTCCCCTCCAAAAATGAAGGGGAAATCTGGGTGCGTCCTATGGGGCGAATGCAGGCTTTCGCTGAAGCTTGGAGAGCGAGAGGGGTCGGTGCGCACCGTCCCCTCTCGCTCTCCAGGCTTCAGGAAGACATCCGCAGCCTAGGCAGCCCTGCGGGAGTTCCCACAGGGCTGTCTAGGCTGCGGATAGCAGCCTGCCGCCCGGCGTGAGCGGCGCCCTGAAGCAGAGCGCCCCTCGCGCCGGGCAGACATCGGCCAGCCCCACAAGCTCGGGGGACAGCAAGGAGGCGCAGCGCCGCCATCCCGCTGTTCCTCGACCTGGTTCTGTTTCCCCGGCCTGGTTTTGGGGGGGAAATAAAGGGGGGGATTTCCTTTATTTCCCCCCGAAAAACCTAGATGCGTCCTATGGGACGAAAAATACGGTACTTAATTCGTTCCGGAGATCTGTATTTAACCTGAAACTGTTCTTAACCTGAAGCACCACTTTAGCTAATGGGGCCTCCTGCTGCCGCCGCGCCACCAGAGCACAATTTCTGTTCTCATCCTGAAGCAAAGTTCTTAACCTGAGGTACTATTTCTGGGTTAGCGGAGTCTGTAACCTGAAGCGTATGTAACCCGAGGTACCACTGTATGGCTTTAAAAGAGGAGTAGTCAAATTCACAAAGGATAATAACAATGGCTTTTAGACATGATGGCTATGTATGTTCTATTTCCACTGTTGAAGGAAATTGAGATCGCTGCCCTGCAGAGGGTTAGACTAAATGACCCTCAGGATCCCTTCCAACTCTACAGTTCTCTGATTCTATGATTCCGGGTCCCCTTGCTCCTTTGCTTTTTTCCGGAGCCTCTTTTCAACCTTCAACATGCATCAGAAAGCTACTCCTGTCCCTACAGGCTGTGTGAGATGTTATTCCCAGTCAGACTGACCTTCTCTCTTAATACTAAAATGCTAATCGATGGCACTAAATGATTTATGAACATTTTGTGACATCACAGCAGCTCTGCCAATCAGCATTCAGTGCTTCCACATGCATGATGCAAAGACTAGACATCAATTCTCTTTGTAAAGTTGATTGCTTATAACACACACACACACACACACACACACACACACAAAAACGGTGTGACTTCATCACAGTTTCCTAGATAAGTGCGACACATCAGCATCAATGGCTTTGATCAATCTTGTGTGGTTAGTTGACTCTCACGCACTATTTGGATGCAAAAGTAATTACTCATGGCGAAGGGGGTGGTAAAGAATTTGAAAGACTGAAAGGGAAGAGGAAAAGGAACTGGAGCCGTTCAATGAGGGCAGGTGGGGGAAGAGGGCAAGAACTACTGTTTTTTACTGTATACGAGACGCCCCCATGTATAAGACGCCCCCTACTTTTGGGGACCCAAAATTTAAAAAATGGGGAGAGATGGCCCAAAGTTGTTGAACTTTTTTTCGGGAAGGATTGCCCAGATTTGTTGAGCTTCTTTTGGAGGGGAATGCCCCAAAAATCGCACACACAATTGCCACATCAACAGCCAATCTTAAGCAGCCCTTGCAGCAGCAACCAATCACCCACCCAATCGCCGCTGACAAGCTCCTGCTCGCAGCTGCAACAAATCACCTGTCCCGCATATGCACTATCTGTGTATAAGACGCCCCCGATTTTTAACCTTATTTTAGAGTAAAAAAAAACTTGTCTTCTACACGGAAAAGTACGGTATTTTTTTTAAGTCACTTACCAGAATGTGTCCTTAAGTGACCAGTGAGCGCATCTCTCCTTTGACAGGCATAGCTGCAAAGGTGGCATTTGAATGGCTTTTCCCCGGTGTGAAGTTTAACATGGCGGAGAAGGTTGCCCTTCTGAGTAAACGAGGCCCCGCACTGGTTACACTGGAAAGGGCGCTCACCTTAAAAACACCATGGAAGGAGGAGAAAAAGGTATCACTTAAGTGCTATCATGCAGGCAGTATAGTCTCTATACTAAAAACACAAATTATACATAATTCTGCCTGAGGGCTGCCAGGCAGGGCTTTAGATGCCACACCACCCAGCACTGGCCGAAAGAGGGAAAGCAAGGGCCACCCCACAGACCTAAAGTGTGTGTGTGTGTGTGTGTGTGTGTGTGTGTTGGTGGTGGTGGTAAGGTAACAGCCAACTGAGAGTGGCAATACCCAATTTTTTTTTAAAGCCGCAGCACACTCCTTTCCTGAATTAAACTTAGTGGCATTCTTCACCAGGAATAGCAAGAGTCTTGTGGCAGCTTAAAGACTAGGTGTTGTGTGCAACATAATTCTTGCTTGAAGCAGATCCACTGAAATTGATGGACAGGACGACTAACTCAGAGGCATTCGTTTCAGTGGGACCACTCTTTTTGTAATCACTATTTTTGGTTGGCAAACCGAATTGCAAAATTCAGATAAGTGCAAATTTTGAAGGATGGCTGTGTTTTGGTTCTCATGGCTTTTTCCAGGAAGTGGCAACGTGATAAATTTGGCTTTAAATGCAAACTGAATCAAAATCCCCCCCCTCTACTCCCCACTCAACTTAACACAGGGGTGATAAACTTAGTGGGCCCAGATCAAATGCATTTAACACTGGCCTTGCCTTAGAAAGGACTAAAAGTAATTACCAGTGTGGCTGCGCTTGTGAACCATCAAGACATTGAGGCTGACACAGCGCAACCCACAAATGTGGCAAATCAGCTTTCCACTAGATGGCCTGATGAGGTCGTACGGCCCAGAATGCCTCTCTAGCTCGATGCTCTCATAGTCTCCATACTCCTGCTGACAGTTATAAAGGCTCCCAGGCTCTCCTCGGTTTTCCATTGGTTCAGAATTCAAGACGCCATCTTCTTTCTCAGTGTATTCACCTTTGCCTTTAAGCAAGCCATCTTCTGGAGGGGTAGGTGCAGGGAAATGGAAGACAGGTCCCAAATGTGAGGAGATGGATAAAAATTGAGAATCCATAGAAAGAAGTTAGCCATGCTTTTCCCCGCCCATTACAGACAAAAATAATGCAAAATGGTTTTTCCCTTAGTTTTCTTGTTTGCCTTTTCCAGATCTTAAAACTGCGGGGGGCAGTTTGAATTCAAACTATTATAGGTTATAAGCCATTTAGACCAGGGGTGGGAATTTTGTTGGCCTCCAGTTCTCATCAGCCCCAGGCAGCACATTCAACAGTCTGTGATGATGGGAACTGGAGTCTGATAATCTGGAAAAGCAGTTTTCCCATCCCTGATTGAGGCCAGCGAAAACCATTTTTTAATGCCCACCCTCTTTCAATTCCCCACTGCCCACCCCATTCACAACTGCTCACAGTATGAAGAAAATAGAGAAACCAGAAAAAGAGAAAGAAAAATAGGAGAGAGATAGAGATGAAGGGAGGGCAGAGAAGAGAATAAACAACATGAAGACAAGATGGATCCATTCAAGATCCAGATGGCTCCCAGGTAAGATCAGAGGTGTCAGGAGTATTTCATTTTTAGCATCACTGTTTCCTTGACGCTTAATTCTAATATTTCTTCCACCCACTGATCAATGCATATCTCTGTCTTATAAGCCGTCATTCTGGAGCCACTTCTGTGCTCACCTGAGGCCAGGAAGTGCTCTGGATTTCTGAGCAGCTGCAGCAGCAAGAAAGCACTCAGCTCAATGAACTGCTAGAAACTCCAAAGGCAGCTGCTTGTGGCATTAGAGTCACCTCTGATTGAAAGTCTTTAAGCAGCAACCCATTGTACACAACCTTGCAATTCCACCTGGGTCGAAGGGATGGAGGCTACTTCTGAGTGCTGGCTTTTCATCACATGGCTCTAAAAATACTGGTGGAAGGCTCCACCGAGCACTTCAGAATTAGGTCTCTTTGAGTCTTGTTTGTTTTAACTAGAGGACATCCAGAACCAAAATGATCCAGGCACCAGGAATGGAATTTGCTATTTATTACAGGAACGAGGGCCAGATTTAGGTTTGAAGCTACTGAAGGTAATGGGGCCCTTTATATGTCCAGCTGTCCTTTGTCAACAACAAATTGTCGCTGTTTTTTGTGTTGAATATATGCTATATGGTAATTAATGGACCTAATAGGAGCCTACACAAGACAAAACAAAACAAAACACTGGTGTAGGTTTTATTTTATTTGTTTTTTATCTTATATTTTGGAAATGTGAGGAGTACATCCAGGTTTTTTCCTTTAATTTTTTTTGGGGGGCCCCCAAGAGAGTGGGGCCCTGAGATATAGCCTGTTTAACTTATACATAAATCCGGCACTGACAGGCATAGACCAATAGGAGTGTTGGTGGGAGTATGTGTATGGTGCTTAACTCTTCCTCTGCCAGCTATTGTTCCGTTCCAAAATCACCTCAAGGTGCCTGCTTCCCCTCTCAGGGCTGATGCATGTGAACCCTGAAGAAGGAAAATCAACTTGTGGGCAGGATCTGAGCCAGAAAATTGTCAACAGGGAAAGCCCTCCCTCCCACCTTCTCCTGAGACTGCTTGTCATTTTTTCTTTTTTTAAAGCCTCAACACCGAGACTTCATTAAACACACTGGTTTATAATGGATGAGTTGCCCTGAAATGCCTCATGCGTCATTTAAAAACAGCATCACGCTGTAGCTGTAAAGGTAATATTTCTGTAGGTAGGGGAAAGCCTGCTTCTCGCTCTATGGCCAGCAAAATGAATTAGCAAAAAATAGTAAACAATGCAGAACTACACGAAATAAGTCGTGCAAATTCAATTTACATAATATATACATGAGCACAGTTCAACTTCTCTAGGAATGGAATTTAATTTGCCCCCCCCCCAGCGAAGAGTAACACATAGCCCTCCCCATTGCATGCAAGTCTTTGAAAAGCTACAGTGAGTCTATGCAACTGGAACCTGTGAAGTCTGTCTGTTCAATTTCCCAATCATTGCATTTCTTTTCCTCCCAGTTTTCCATTCCCCTCCCTGTCATTCTGTGCCCACTGAACACGCTCAGTCCTCATTGGACTGCTTTGGATTTTTGAGAACCCTGCCTAGAACACAAATCACTGTGGAAGCTCTGTAAATACGTCGTCTGGAGAAGCCTGTAGAATCTATTGGCTCATAGGATCATTTCCACATAAGGCAGGTATGGAGAAGCTGTGGACCTCTAGATGTTGCTGATCTATAGTTCCTATCAGGCCCACCAATGGCCAGGGATGATGGGAATTGTAGTTCAGCAGCATCTGGAGGGCCAAAGGATCCATGCTTAAGAGTTGACCATGGCCACCACCAGGGAACTGATTACTTTGGAAACAGCTGGGAGTATGATGCAGTGCATCCATCACCACAACTGTCTTGAAACAAACATAGGAAGCAAAATCCTATGCATGTTTACTTGCTGGTAAGTTCCACTGTGTTCATTCAATAGGGCACACTCCCATGTAAGTGGAAATAGGATCACAGTCTTAGTAACAATTGTGGAGTTTGCCATTCATTGCCTTTCTGTAGCAGATGAAATTTGAGGGACTCCATAATAAATGCACATGCAGGACAGCTGGTATGTTGAGCTTGTTGAAGAAATCTTGGGTGGCCAGGAGTGGACTTTTGCATTAAATGATCGTTTAATACAAAAGCCCAGTCCTGGCCACCCAAGCTTTCATTTTAGCAGCCCAGTTTAGATGGAAACGGTTTCTTCTTCCTATCGTTGAGCAACTAGGAGTCAGAACAGGGGTTGGCACCCTAAGGTCATTTAACCGGCCCATGGACCACCGCCACCCACTCGGGGATCCCCGCTGCCCACTCAGTCGGCTCCTGTGCGCCATGCTAAACCGGCGCAGAGCAGAGTGGGGACCACTTTCCACGACGCTGGCTGGCTCCTGCGACGCTGGAAGCTCCTGCAGCCAATGGGAAGCTGCGCACACCTCCTCCGCGCCAGAAGGAGCACCAGAAATAGTGTTTGCGTGTGCGCAGTGGCGTAGCGTGGAGGGTGCAGGGGGGGCTGGCCGCACCGGGCGCAACATCTGGGGTTAGGGCAAATCCATGGGTTAGGGGGCGCAAATCCACGGGTTAGGGGGCGGAAATCCACGGGTTAGGGGGCGCAAATTACTTGCCTTGCCCCGGGTGCTGACAACCCACGCTACGCCACTGCGTGTGCGTGTGTGCACGCGCACTCCAGCCCACTGCGGCGTCTGCAGGACTGTGAACTGGCCCAAGCCACAAAAACTTTGCCGACCCCTGAGTCAGAAAGTCTTTGCCAGTGTACTGCAAACCACACAGAGAGATCTATCAGTAGATCCCAAACTATCTTCTGTCTGCCCCCAGCTCTATGGTTTGAGAAAAGCAGTGTGGGGAGTGAAGATATGCTTTGATTGCAGAATATGGTTCCAGACATCCTCACTGGCTATGCACAGTGTCTACCTCTTGAGGTTTTTGTATGGGTAGAGTTTACTAATCGTATGTGTTTGCATGAGGAGCATCTGCATGTATGGGGCTGAAGGAGAAGGATCTTGGCAGTTGGACGTGACCAGTGAAGGAGAAACAAGTTTTTGCAGCTGGCTGATAAGAAGGAGCCTTGAGGAGAAAAGGGCTAAGCTGTTGGTTTTTGGAAACCATACAGACCAGCACTGGGCACCTGGGTGCTTGCCTTCCTCCCAGTTTGTACAATGCAAATAAGTACGGTAGATGTCATAAATAAGGGTGGGGAAATCTGCCAGTTTCTGTTTCTCTGGTTTCTGGTTCCTCCAATGTTAAGTTCTTTTCTCCACATTTCCACATCGGTCCTCAGGAAAAGTCATCGGCATTTTGCTGTGAATTTATCCGAGCGCACACACATTTGTATTTTGCAAAGCAATTTCCCCGAAAGTAACACATTTCTGTATATTCTGTATATTGTTTTCACTAATATACACATTTTAACGATGATTTATCCCCAGGATATGTATTTTTGCACACATTTCTTGGCTGAAGAACTGCATATGCAAAAACATCAGAGAAGTGCAAATTTCAAAGAGTGGCTCTGTTTGGATTGCACTGTTTTGGAAACGGCAAATTAGATAGGTTTGCCTTTAAATGCGAACTGAATTCTCTGGCATCCCTAGTTACAAAATCACACTACACAAGTCCACAGCACTCTCCACTCCCAAGGAAACTGACTGTGCGAAAGGCTGACCCTGGTTGGGGAAGTGGAGACATGAACAAGAAAACTCACCTGCTTTGGGATTCTGCTTGTGGGAACCTCTTTGCAAGATTCTTACTGAAACTCCTCCTAAGGAAAAATACCCGCCTTTTGCTTTTCCTTCAGGCCATCTGCCTCTGCATCTCTCTGCATCTCTCTGCCCCTGATTCACTTTTGATAAGGAACTGAAAGGATGCACCTGAGCCCTCCTGACCGAAGCCCCCGCCATGCTCTAGTGCTCGAAGGTTCCCCCAAGCAAAGGCTTGAGCAATTTTTCAGTTTGCATGTAGGTGCTTTCTAAAAAAGCACGACGGGAAACATGCGGACCAACATGCAGGAGGGGCAGAAAGCAGAAGCTGTGAGAAAAGAGCAGTTCGGTGACAAACCCTGTCTTCACTGGCAGGAGGTAAAGGGAAGAGAGAATAGCCCAGCCTTGCTCAGTGAGGCTTATATTTGTCTTGAAAAAGCAAGACTTGATTTGAAAGCCTTTCACTTATGCCTGGCTATGGGTTAAGGCTGGCACGTCCAAAGTCCATTTCAGGGGCGTAATCTGCCAGTTGGTTTAATCTGGCCCCTGTGGCAGTTTATTACCTGGGTGTAAAATCCCTGAAAAAAAGCTCAACAATTTCAACCCTAAAAAAAGTCAACAACTTTGGTCGGCCCTCAAGCATGTTCACTTCACCAAATCTGGCCCTCTTTGAAAAAAGTTTGGGCACCCCTGTTAAGCTTACCAGGAGAGCTCTGCCAATTGAGAATTCTGA